AAAAAAACAGCCACATGTTTCACACTAAATACGCTGCACAAATATTTCCATAGAATCATTAAAATAAATTATGTTCATATTGTGAGTGTATTTTTTAATCTATGGTTTTATTTTATAACATTTACATAAATACACTTTAAAAAATCTTGCTCAGTGTACTGTGATATTTTCATTGCTGCTTGATTTGCCATTGCTTAACCCTAGACCACTAACCATCAATTAAAGTTAAACCACTACTAACCATGGGTATATCATACCCGATTTTGAAAATATCAAAAAAAAAAAAAAAAATTAAATATAAATCTTTATTTGAAATATTTTACATGCAGGCACTTCTAACTTTGTACAATGAGTTAATATTAATAGGAACGGAAATACATATTATTTAGGTAAGAAAATCAGATACTGAAAATTGTAATTAAAAATAGGAAAATTTGAGCTGGGTACTATGGGTTCCCATGTTTAGTGTTTAGTGTTAAAAGGTTGAGAAACACTGATCTACAACATTAAAACCTGTTAGAAAAACATATTAAGCTTAATCAATCTGGTGAATTAGTGTCGCAATTGCGTGAAATTCAATTTCTTGATCATGCTTATAGAATTGTCTGCTATATGCAGGCGTTGTTAAAATAGGCTTTAAGCTGACATTTCTTCATCTGAATCAAGAACGTAACTTCCTTATAACATTGTCACATTTGGACGGACCTGACGTTGCAATTTGTGGTGGAAAATGACATTTTAATTGAATCTTATTGGGTCCTGATCATAAGGTACAATATGGAAGACGATATCGAAAATTCAACCCTTAATTAGATTGTAATTGAACAGCAGTTACTAACGGATGTTCTCAGTGAACCACGTCAGCGAATTAAAATCATAACGCAAGCGCTTTGTCAGATTTCCTTAATAATTCGTTTCAGTAAGATTCATTTTAAAACCTAATCATCATCAGTGAAGTATCCGCGTGTGATCATAGGGTCAGTGCGCTGCTGAGCATTTGACCAGCCACCTGCATATATCTCGGTCGTGTGCTAATGTCTGAATTTCTCTTAATGATGCTCCAGTTCACTCAGTGACATTTTAGCCCGTTCTCTTCGCTATCTGTCTTTCTTGCCCAAGATGTTATCTTGTGGGATGGTAGTGGAAAGATTGTTAGCTCTTATGACGTAGCCATACCATTTAAAATTAATATTCTTGGCAGCGGTTATGGGTTTTTCCAATGGGCCTGATCCTTGTCTGATGCCCTCTCGAACTGTGTTATTTGTGATGCGGTCTACGAAGGAGATACCAAGATTTCTGTGGAATCTCTTTTCTAATACCTGGCTCCCCTGTTAATCTCCAAGACTCTCAGATACCAAGGAGTATTGAAAAAGCCAATGTACAATTAATATTCTTGGCGGTGGTTATGGGTTTTTCAAATGGTCCTGATCCTTGTCTGATGTGCTCTCGAACTGCGTTATTTTAATGCTGTCTACGTAGGAGATGCCAAAGATGTTTCTGTGGAATCTCTTTTCTAATACCTGGCTCCCTTGTTAATCTCCAAGACTCTCAGGTACCAAGGAGAATTGAAAAAGCCAATGTACACTACGGTCTGATATTCTTCTGCTTCTAGATGGTTCTTAGTTTTCTGACAGCTACCGTTGTTTGAGCAATCTATTCCAATAAGCTCGCTCTTTCTCAATTCTCTTTGATAGACGCTACCCTACCGTAAGCTGCATACTGAATTATATGAGAGTTGGCTGAAAAGTTCATAGACCGAGATGTAAATGTAAGTAAACACACCAGCTGGTGGACAAAAATACATGCAAGTGTACCAGAATTGTCGATAAACTGTGGTATTTTTTAATCTACCAACTGGTGTGTCTATTAACATTTACCGTTATTCCCGATGTATAATACGCTTTCATCCTTAATACGCACCCCTAAAAATGTGGGAAAATGCTTCTAATCATGCATAATACGCACTTCTTGTTTGGTAATCAAGCCCGATAAATAGTACCTCTCTAATTTCATTATGGCCAGCGTTTTCGACTCTTATTCAAGCTGTAGTTGAAGATATTCATCAAAATTTCCGATCACCTTGAATATAAACGGAAACGGAAATACTTATATTGTGCCTACTGCGCAGACTCATTAACCTGTTTTTTGTTCGATAAATGTGAAATCTACTGGATCTGTATGTAGTTTTTTTTTTAAATTGTTTTAAACAAAATAATATTATTCTAATTTAGATTTATAATAATTCTTATTTTATTTTACATTTTTAAGTATCGTTAGGTACATATGATTCTATTTGACATCATATGGGGTCGCAATCGCCGAATGTTAGTGTCAAATTGTCGTATGTTTGTAGTGGCTAGTCATTTCGTAACTGAAACGGTAATTTTTTGAAAAATTTTTATAGCTGTTCATAATACGCACCCCTAATTTTGCTTATTATTTGTTTAGAAAATATGCGTATTATACATGGGGATTATGGTATATTTTGTTCAACCAATGAACGCAGCCGAACCACATATATGCGTTTCTTTGTGTCAATGATGTATTTGGGAAACTGGAATAAGGATTCTCTTCTTGCACGATGAAAGACACACATGAAAAACATCCAATGGCATGAAACGATATACAAAGTTTCTTAGTATAGTGCTTTGTATAATGACTCTAGGAAACGTTTTAGTAGACTTTGCGAGAGAGACATAACTTTTCACAATGACGACAAGAGAAGTTTTGGTAGATGGCGGAAGATCCGGTCTTGTGGAATTTCCTCGATTTTCTAGATTACCTGTCTCCATTATCACTCTGTAGACTACCTTTGTTTCCCTTTGATTGTAGCTAAGACCATAAAAAATGAAGATCTCTCTCAAAGACTCTCTGCATTTTTTCACTGCCCCCACCCCCGGTTTGGTCTGAAACTAGTTCTCCAACTGTAAGGGTTTTTTTTAAAAAGGTTATCTTCCACTATTGTCTCATTAATTGGAAATAAATAATGAAATAAGGGGAGATTACTCTGTAATTGACCAAAACGATTATGAACTCAATTACATTTATATTATTAAGATTCTTCTTTTATGTGCTGTGACCCTTTAGGACGTTGGTGATCATGACTCTCCACATTTTCTATAACTGGCTATTTTAATCATTTGTAACTCAGCTTCAACATTTGTATTTTGGTTTGGTTTATTTTGGTTAAAGTCATATCAACACCTCAGTGGGTTATTCAATGCCGATAAGATTTTTTTTTAATTTTTTTTTTTAGGATAGGTTCGTATGAATAGAATATGTATTTTTTTGTAAGAAATCAGTTTGTAGATTAGATTTCATTGACGCATTTTTGTAAAGAGGGGTTTTGTCAAGACTCAAATGTATTGTTGGTAATATTTTTTTTCAAAAATTTATTGCCAGTATTTTTTACTATAAAAATTTAATTTTTGTATTTTCATAGTGTTTTGATTCCAGTTTGGGGGTTAACTATTTGTCTAATGCTAAGACCCTAACAGGTGCTACCTCCCCAAATAGTGGGGGGGGATACATGTTTTGCTAAAAACGACTGACAAGTAACTGCGGTTAAGATTTTATTGAATTTTTCTTCTGTTCTTACATTTTTTCTAGACATACATTATGCAGAAACTTTTCGAATGTTATGTATATCTGAGAGGTTTAAGCTATTCTTTTCGACATTATCAAGGATGATTTTATTTTTATTTGTATGGATTTTTAGGTAGAGTTATAGAATATTTTTATTTTCTAAACACTGTCAGCACATTGTGACCGTGTTCATAGCTGGTGTTATTGTGTTTCCTTTTTCATGTGGATGAGGCTACATTTTCATTGACTACGAGTATGTTGCAGATGAAGTTTGGTAGGTCAATTGTGTTTCATTTAAACTGAGCTGATAAACGCGGAGGCGTTTATCAGCTCAGCCACGGATCCAGCTTGACATGGCCAATTGAGACTGATTAATGAGTTCGATCCTCACTGGGTACCCCAATTTTTTAGCCGCGTACCACATCTAAGCCCCGATTAGAAAAATAGTTGAGAGACTTCGACGTGGTGTAATGGTTAGCAAACTTTTCTCGCTAGATCAATTACGACTGAGTGGTGAGTTCGATCGTCACTGGAAGCTCCACTCATTCGGACTTGTGCCACAGCTAAACTACGCTTAGAAAAGAATTTCTGGGTACCTCGACGTGGTGTAACGGCTTGCAAGCTTGTCTCGCTAGAACAATTACGGCTGAGTAGTGAGTTCGATCCTCACTCGGTGCCCCATACTTTCGGCCTTATGTTACACTTAGAAACCCACCATATTCTCATTTTATTATATAATATTTTCCCCTTGCAAACGTACACGAATGTTTTCATATACACGCTGTTACATTCTTCCGGTCATAATCTCTTCAGTTGGTTTTACACCCATGCGTGGGTCCATAAATGTCTTTGTGACGTGAAAGCGACACAAAAACGTCTTGACGCTGTCCATTCCCCGTAAGATTTCAGTCTTTAAGCCCTAAGTTTCGATCAGATGGGCATGATGAGGAAGTATTCACCTGTTGTTCTTAAGGGTCGAACGAGAAGCGATTTCGTCAAATTCAATTTGACGTTGAAGCGTTGTCCGTTAAAGATGCTGCCTCTTCAAAAGAGGTATTTTTGCTTCAACATATTCAATTCTGTAGATATGATCTTGGGAAGAAATGTTGTTAGGATTAGGTTACTGCTAAACAAACGCCCCACTGGCTATCTATCGAATATCTACTTTCTTTCCTTGAAAACGACGAATAATGATGGAAGGTACTCGGAATATAATACATAATTTCAGCAAGTTTCTTTACAAACTGCCATCAGAATATTAAACGACTTATTCGACCCCAGGAGAGACCCACGAAATTTGCAACAGATATTCTCTGTCCGTTCAGTTTAGGTGTTACTAGAAATTAATTAGGCTACAAAACAAAAGAAATATAGAGCAGAAAGCAAAATAAAGAAAGGAAGGGAGAAATGAGAACAAAAGAAAGAAAGAAAGAAAGAAAGAAAGAAAGAAAGAAAGAAAGAAAGAAAAAAAGAAAGAGAGAAAGAGAGAAAGAAAGAAAGAAAGAAAGAAGATAGGGTGAACTGAAAATAAAAATAAGAAGTAAATAAAAAGAAAAAAACGGAAAACTAAAGAATCAAAGAAAGAAAGAATAGAAAATAAAAGAAAGAAAGAAAAAAAGGAAAACAAAAGAAAGAAAGAAACAAAGAAAGAAAGAACGGAAAACAAAAGAAAGAACAGAAAATAAAAGAAAAAGAAAGAAAGAAAACAAAACAAAAGAAAGTAAGAAAGTAAGAAAAAAAGAAAGAACGGAAAACAAAACAAAAAAACAAAGAAAGAAAGAAAGAAAGAAAGAACGGAAAATAAAAGAAAGAAAGAAAGGAAAACAAAAGAAAGAAAGAAAAAAAGACGGAAAATAAAAGAAAGAAAGAAAGAACGGAAAACGAAAGAAAGAAAGAAAGAAAGAACTGAAAATGAAATAAAGAAGGAAAAAAAAGGAAAACAAAAGAAAAGAAGAAAGAAAGAAAGAAAGAACGGAAAATAAAAAGAAAGAAAGAAAGAAAGAAAGAAAGAAAGGAAAACAAAAGAAAGAAAGAAAGAAAGAAAGAAAGGAAAACAAAAGAAAAAAGAAAGAAATAAAGAACGGAAAACAAAAGAAAGAAAGAAATAAAGAAAGAAAAACGAAAGAAAAAAGGAAAACGAAAAAAGAAAGAAAGAAAGAACTGAAAATGAAATAAAGAAGGAAAAAAAAGGAAAACAAAAGAAAGAAAGAAAGAAAGAAAGAACGGAAAACAAATAAAAGAAAGAAAGAAAGAAAGAAAAAAAGAACGGAAAACAAAAAAAACAAAGAAAGAAAGAAAGAACGGAAAATAAAAGAAAGAAAGAAAGAAAGAAAGGAAAACAAAAGAAAGAAAGAAAGAAAGAACGGAAAACAAAAGAAAGAAAGAAATAAAGAACGGAAAACGAAAGAAAGAAAGAAAGAAAGAAAGAAAGAAAGAAAGAAAGAAAGAAAGAAAGAAAGAAGGGAAAACGAAAGAAAGAAAGAAAGAACGGAAAACGAAAGAAAGAAAGAAAGAAAGAAAGAACGGAAACCAAAAGAAAAAAGAAAGAAAGAACGGAAAACAAAACAAAAAAAGAAAGAAAGAAAGAATGGAAAACAAAAGAAAAAAAGAAAGAAAGAAAGAACAGAATATTAAAAAAATGAAAGAAATAATAATGGTTGACATGATTTTCTGTCAATTTTGCAGACAAAAAAAAAACCAAGATTTTTAACGAAAATTTTGGACGTGCTAGGAACGATTAAAAATGTAAAAAGTACCCCAAAATACTTTGATATTTCCTCTTAATAATAACATAAGCATTTACAAGATAAAGTTTTGTTTTCGTGAAGTATGGCGTCTTTTTTGTCATGCTATACTCTTTTTATTTTTTTTATTTTTTACTTTTTATTTTTTTATTATTTTACTTATTATTTTTTATTTTTTATTTTACTTATTTTATTGTCATTTTGTTTATTTATTTATTTGTTTTTATTTTAATTTGCTTTATTTTATTTGTTCAGTTTTCGATTTTTTAGAATTAAAAACTGAAAAAATACAATAATATAAAAACAAATAAATAAACAAAATGACAATAAAATAAGTAAAATAAATTAATCCAAACAAATTACGAAATCACACCCGCCAGAATAGACGAAATAGAATAAATAAATAAAAAATCAAAAAAAAAATCAATGAACCCAAATAAATAAAGTAAATAATAAACAAATTAACAAACCATTATGACCAAAATATTAGTTAGACTAAAAAAAATCAAACCAAAAATGGGACTAATGACATAGCTATAACTGTTATATAACGATAAAAAAATACTACGTTACTTAAAAATCGAAAACCGAAAAGAGTAAACCAAAATATACCGTATAATAAATAAATAATAAAAAAACAAGTAAAATAAATTAATCTAAATTTATCCAAATAAATAAATAAACTAACAAACCGATCCCGATAAATTAACCGTTAAAAAAAAACAAATAAAGATAATCAATCCAAATCAATACATGAATAATAAACAAATTAAAAACTGCTCTCGCCAAAATAATAATTAGAATAAACTACAACAGTCAACCCTAAAATTGAATAAATAGCTTTATCTTCTCAAACCAAAACAAAACTATTAAATAAGCGATAAAAACAAATGTTTACTACGTTAATAAAACATTGATTAAAATTAAAATAAATATATAAGATAAGAAATAAAAATAAAATATAAAAATAAAAAATAAAAATAAATAATGACAAAGAAAATAATTTAACCCAAATAAATAAATAAACAAATAAACGACTTCCGGTAAAATAACCGCCAAAATAGACTACCCACAATACACCACTGGCCCGTATATATAAATAGCCGGAAAAAATAACAGTACTCGTGGCCTGACGATTGCTTATAGCATGAAACAGACTGTCGCCTCTAAGTGTTGACTTCAATGTTCACTTTTATATATATATATATATATATATATATATATATATATATATATATATATATATTTGCATGTTTCATTAAATAATATAGACAAGTGTTGTCTATTTATTTTACGTGAATTCTTTTCATATTGTCTGATAAGCTTAGTAACATTATCATTAAACGAAGAAAGAAAATCACAATATTGATACATATTTTTTAATCCTACCTAAGCTTTCGGCTTACATAAGCCATTATCGAAGATGACAATTACATTACAATATATTAAGCAATACACGGACAAGACAGTGATGATAGTCTGTTTCTGTTTACATGGAAGATTTCCAAGCAACGACAAACTCCGACACTTAATTATTCTCGAATTCACTCTCGCGTCGTCATGTGTGATGTCATGACCTGCCGTGCGATTTTCGCTTCCAGCGTCTTATATGCACGAGTTTGTCATTGCTTGGCAATCTTCCATGTAAACAGAAACATGCTATCATCATACCGTCTTGCCTGAAGACAGAATATGGCGCTTGATTTTGCATTTAAATTTGATCGTATGCGACAGGAAAGCAGCAAAATAGAAGGTTTCACAGATGAGAAGTGCCAGAATAAACTATTAGAATAGAATTATAGAGTTATACCTAGCTATTTCAACTGCAAAACAATAAGACTTAGTTGCTAATCAAGCACACACACACACACACACACACATATATATATATATATATATATATATATATATATATATATATATATAAGGCATCATTGACTTGTATATATAAAAAAGTTGAGCAAAAACACAACGCACATGGCCTGACGAATGCAGTTAGCTTTTGAGTGTTGATTTCAATGTCCACTTTTATATTTACACACACTCTATCCCTGATATTGAGCACTTTAACCCACAAATATAACATACCTTAAAACTATATTTTATCATATTAGACACACACACACACACACACACACACACACACACACACACATATATATATATATATATATATATATATATATTTATAATAATTTTTATCAAGTACATCATTGCTTGAACCGGCTTCTAATGCTCTAGAGTGAGCGGCTTGGTGAGAGTAGTCGTGGCTCCAGGGGGCACAGTCCTATGGTTACAGAGAACGCAGTAGAGTTCCACCACGGAATATGTGAGCGAGCGGCGCTATGTTGAGTCTGATTTGCAAACTTTTCGTCACCGGGGCCTGTTGGAACAGTTGGTATGGTGTTTGCTTGACAACCTAACTATCAGGGTTTCAATTCTCGGTAGTGGATGCGCACTGCTGATGATTCCCAAGTATAGGACGAAACGGCAGTGCATTCTGTTGAGGTTTCTTTGAGACTCGATGAATTGCTTAAATATATATGCATATCCAGGCAGAATGTCTTCATTCAAACATGTTTCATCGAATAATATCATCATTTTGATACTGATCTTTTTCAGTTGTCTAATCTGTTTCTTGATGTTAAGATAAATTCATCAGGCAAGGCACCGTATTTTTTTCAACCCACGTACTTTCGCTATTTTCAAAGATCATCTTCAGGGGTAAATTACAAAGACAAACTTATTGTTACTGCAATAAAATCTGTATCCCGTTGTGATGGTCATTAAAAAAAAAAGAAAAAAAAACACCCAGAAACGCTCTCTGTTATACGTATTTAAAACTTTTAATTTATCCGTTATAGCTATGGATTTTTTTTGTTGACAAAACAAACGTTTTAATATAAATGAGCTGACCGGAAATTGAAAGAAATGCAAAATGACATTAACTGTTTGTTATATGCACTTCAATACGTTGCTGCTACACTCGTAATAAATTTTGTTGGCTGTTGGTTGGTTGATTTTCATAGAGAGAGCCTCGAGAATTTAAAGTTTTATATATATTGTTCTACTCATCATGTCATGGCAGAAGTCCTTTTGTAAATTGGAACATGGTGAGGAGGATAAAAATTGGCAGAATTCGTAGCAATTATTGCCGGCTGCGCCAGGAAGAGAAAATGACCATTGCCATATATCCTGATAAAGTTGTCTTACTAAATAAGAGAACCGATTTTATGTCAGGGTGCAGACATTTAATTAAATATCTTTCAGGTACCTAGGAACCCTGATTAGAGAAATAAAATAATTAATCCCCCTTTTACCCCCATCATTTCATCATAATTTCTCTCCGCTCTTTTCATCACTTACAATTTTCTTCCCCTCTCTTGACTCCTCCATCAACCTAACTTTTACCCTCTCACTTCCGGTGTTCTGGTATATTGGAGTAGTTTTCTTTGGCTTGTTCATCCTTCCACTTGCCTGTGAATACCTCACGGTCGAAACCCGAGTTGCGAGGTTGGTTATCATTTTAGCCATATATATATATATATATATATATATATATATATATATATATATATATATATATATGGTTGGATAGATGTGAGTTTGTGACCCTGGGTTTCACGCTTTGCGATCCTCAGACAAACTGATTAATGTTTTAAAAAAATGGGTTTATGTAGATTGCGTGTATTGGTGTTATTGTGGAAGTGGTGGGGGAAACTTCGTCGTTTTGTCATTCACTGTCATTGAGCGCTTTCTAATAAGTATCGCGCATATAATATATAAATAATTATACATATATATATATATTTATATTTATATACACTTTTCACACACACACACACACACACATACATATATATATATATATATATATATATATATATATATATTGATGAGAAGACGGAACTTTAGTTATTCATTTCGTTTATAATTTTTATTTCGTGAACACCGAGATGTTCAACTCATCAGAACTTCCTCTTTTATTTTATTTTATTTTATTTTTCGGAGGAGATTTCGTTCTGATGAGTTGAAATATCTCAATGTTCACGAAGTAAAATTTATAAATGAAGTAGATAATTAAAAGTCTCCCTCTTCTTACTATCATTATAACATTCTGTATTCCACATTGAGATCACCCTGCATATATATATATATATATATATATATATATATATATATATATATATATATATATATATATATATATATATATATATATATATATATATATGTCCATAAAGTTCGTGCACTTTAAAAGATTTATAACTTGTTTGTATTTGCGATAGAAATAATTTGGAAAAAGGATTAGAAAGAAGTAAATCTATATTTTTTAAGGTTTTATTGACATTTTATTTAAGTTTCCACATGTCGTCCATCATTAGCAATACAAACGGTAATACGATTTTGCAGTTCACGGAAAACATTTGCCAACTGATTTACAGTAATGCCTGAAATCACATTAGTTATTTTAGCGATACTTAAAACTAGGTACATTAAACTTTATAAAATTTTTTACAGATTATTTCTATCACAAATACAAATAAAGTTATAAATTTTTTAAAGTGCACACGAACTTTATGGACATCCTGTATATATATATATATATATATATATATATATATATATATATATATATATAGGTAACCATTCTCGTTTCAAAAACCAAAAGAATTTTGATTTGCCAATAATCAAATCAATCTCGAAGGAAAAAAAGGTTTTAAAAAAAGAAAGAGCTAGAAACATGAAAGTCTGTCGAAAAAAAATCGCACAGATACAGGTTCAAAGCCCAAAGAAAAAACCCCGACACGAGTAAACAACTAACTAACAAAAGAGCTCTATACAACCAGCTTTCCCTGACGATCCTGCTTAGGTGAAACCTGGGTAGGTTTGTCTGACTCACTAGGTTTATATATATAT